TTCTGGATGGGCTTGTACCTCCTGCGCGCCGGGGTGCGCCTGCCTCTGGCCGTCGCGCTGCTGGCCGCCTGCTGCGGGGGGGAAGCGCTCGTCCAGATCGGGCTGGGCGTCGGGGAAGATCACTTACTCTCGCTCCCCGCCGCGGGGGTGGTGCTCAGCTGCTTGGCCGCCGCGACATGGCTGGTGCTGAGGCTGAGGCTGGGCGTCCTCATGATCGCCTTGACTAGCGCGGTCAGGGTCGTGTCCCTCATTTCCTTGGAGAGGTTCAAGGTCGCCTGGAGACCTTACCTGGCGTACTTGGCCGGCGTGCTGGGGCTACTCCTGGCCAGGTACGCGGAGCAAATCTTGCCGCAGTCCGCGGGAGCGGCCACGAGGGAGCAGCTTGCGCCCCAGCTGATTGCTGGGACCAGAGAAGAGATCCCGGTGTTCAAGAGGAGGAGGCGATCCAGCTCCGTGGTGTCCGCCGAGATGTCGGGCTGCGGCAGCAAGTCCCATCGGAGGACGTCCCTGCCTTGCATACCGAGGGAACAGGTAAGCACTGGCGGGCCCCCTCTCGCCTCTCGGGGAAACTTGAAACGTTTGGGAAGGCGCGAAGTGGAGGGAATCCCAGCGCTGGGAACTAAAGGAGAGAGAGCCTAGAAAAGTGGTTGAACTTAGGACAGAGAAGAGTGGCGACTTTTACTCCCCCTCTCAGACAGTCTTTTATAACCTGGACAACAAGAATACGAATAGGTGATAAAACCAGATGGCGTTCGCAGGGTCTTCCCCAGCTGGGCCAGCTTTTTAGATCTGCCACACCTGGTGTATGGCTTCCCTACACTTTTAAGTACCCTCACGCTTTCCTACTTTAGCAGGAATTTTCTAATTAAGTTCAGTATTTCAGCAGTGGGCGATTTTTTTTTTCAACACGTGGATTTTTACTAGATTTCCTTCTATTTTCATAAAATTTTTAATTCTACAGTGACAGGTAAACATTTATGGAAGTCGGCAGAGAAAGATTCTAAAATAAATCAAGGAGTGTTTGAAGGTGAGGTATTGACACACACACACACACACACACTCTGGTTTTGCAGTAAGTTTTACTTGAAGAGACAGCGTCTGGTGGTGCCCAGTTTATTTTTCGATGTAATTTGGGGACATATGCTATTACATGCTAATGTGTTTTGTAGCATAATTATAAACTTCAATTTGGGGAACAATCAATATATCTGATCTTCAGAACTTATCAAAATCGTCAACTGTGCTGTTAGTGTCAACTAAAAAACAACATTTCTCTTCGGTACCTACATACTTAAGTGGGTATTTAGAAATTCAAATAGATGTATACAGGTTATTTGGGAAACTAATTCAGGAGGACATTTCTAAGATTGCTGGTGATATAAATCTTTCAGAAAGAAGGAAGAGGAGGAATCCAGAATTGTGAGTGAAGTTGTCCTAGACAAATTTCAGAGAATTTGGGAGATGAATCTCCTTATTATCATGGAATGTAGTTGCTATAATGGACATAAAAAAACCCACAAATCTAATTTTAAATTCAAATTGTATGTGAAAAGGAATGCTTATGTGTTCACTTCTCTATTCCAAGCAGACTTGACACTTGGGGCGCGTGCTGGTGGAAGCTGGTTATGAACAGCAAGTGGAAATTTACACTTTTCCCATTTAAATGTGTGCCTACTTATGGCACTATTAGGGCAACGTTAGGGTGGGAGAGGACATCCTAGGATATAGTAAGCGTTGTCTTTTTAGGTTATTCTGTGGATAATCAATTAGATATTTCTAAGAAATAGCAGTCACCATATGGTGTGGGTGGCTAGTTTGTTTCTGAAATGGAGTTGATTACACAGAATGTGATTGTTTGACATTATTTAGCAGAATGGATGCCAGCATCATAGCCTCTGTGTTTATTTTAAAACAAATGTACTTATTTAGCTTTTTGTTTAGATAAAGCAAATATTTTGTGGGTTTAAACATAAGAGTGAAGTTTTAAAAGTGCAGCTTTAAGAGTCAAGTTAAAAACAGGGCACTGACTGATACTTAGTTTTGGTAAAAATTTTGAAATCACCAGAATAAAGTAAGCTACATTTAAGATAATTTAAACCAATTAGCAGGAAAGCACATTTTTATCCATGTTATAGGAGAGAGTGTTCTTTAAATGAAAATACTACTAGCTTAAATATGTTTAGAGCATACTTTTTTTTGAGGTATAGGGAAATGTGATCTGATCGCTGCAAAATTGAACCGTAATTTCCAAGGCAAATCCATGATTTAATCATAAATAACTCAACTTCAGATTGGTATAATTTAACCTCTAAAATTAAATTTCTGAAATTCCACCTTAACTTTTAGAACTTAAAGAGTTAAGGGTGAATTTAAGATAAGAAGGTGTTTAGATGAATTAGCCAGCGGTGTTAATTAACTCACAGACAGATTTTCATTGGTTTACTCGGGTTTGAATTGATACATGGAAAATTTGAATAATCTGCAAAGTTATAAGAAAATAACCGAGCATTGCATTTTTAAATATTTTGCTGATTAATGCTGTTGAAAACCCATATTCGTAATCTATTTTGGCCATTTTCTTTGGTTACTATGTTTTTAAGGGTTGTGTTTATGAAGAATATTCGAAAGGGAGAGACTTTATTTCTTATGGTTGATGAAAAAACAAGGCTACATTTAGCAGAAGTTTAGATCTTGACATTTTAATGAGGGCATGGGTGAGTGTGTACGTGTTACTGAAGACTAGTTTATATATATATGACCCATTAAAGTTGCTGCTGAGCGTGGGTGGCAACTAACGTGGAACAATATCTTCTGAGAGAGGGCAATATCTCATACATTAGCATAACTGTGAAAAGTTCAGGAGCCATGTAGGAAATGGCTTATCTGTTTTATCACAAGGAAACAAACTTCTGGGTAAGGGTGCAAAGGGTACCACTGTCCTCTGCATACTTTTTCAGCAATCAAAGTAATTATCAAACCCATGTATAACACTCACCTGAATGCTACCTGATTAGGAGTTCCTTTTCTGAAAGAATGTCTACTCTTCAATTCAAGACAATGCTCAGGCAACAAGTGGATTTTAAGTACAGGTCTAAAGACAAAGCGCAGAGTCTAGCAGAGGCCTCTTGAGAATGTATTTGGACTTTGCTCACTGTGAGGTTTAAAGGTGAGAGAATTTCAGCCTTTTCTTCTGCATATGAATGATCGTAGCCACCTGCTTATGAACTATCTCTCTTCAATGACTCAATTCTGAAAGGTCAAGGAGAATAGGTGATAAAATTCTCATAAGACAAACCAACTGACAGATATATTTCCTTCCCTCCCTCCCTCCTGTCCTTCCTCTTTCCCTTCCTGAACCATACTTGTCTATAGATTGAATATTACACATGGGATTGAGTTTTACAGTTCTGATGATAAAGATGACTTCAAGCAAAGAAAGGAGACACAGGGCTAGTCTCACTCACTGAATTTACCCAGCACTGGCTGTGTCCGAATGCAAGCGAAGGTGTCTTTACCCTCAGTAAAGAACAGACAAAGTTTGTAACATTTGCGGGGCTTTTAGTTCAGGACTGAGGATGATTTTGTAGATCAGTGTGTCCAACAGTACTTTTTTGTTTGGCAGCATTAAGAAGGCGGATGTTTCCCTTAAGGTGTATGTATCTTTTCTAAGTGGATATTCACATTCAAGAGCAGGCATGTCTCTTTCAAGTTACCCCTATACCCACCAAAACTGGAATATAGAGGTACCTAGAATGTCTTGTATGATTAGATATTATATGATTGGTAAGTATAATATGTTTCAACATGAAATTTTAATTATGCAATTTTACCATTTGGAAATTGTATTTAAAAGGGTGTCTCTCTAGTCTCTTTATACATCAAAGGACACAGTTGCCTAGTCATTCCTCTCTAATTACAGTGACCACCTTACAGGTACATTTTTGAAAGATTCTAAACCAGTGCCATTTTATTCAGTTACATGTTAAGAAGAATTTAATAATTTTGCCAATGGTTTAACATAAAATAAACACAAGACAAATAGCTCTCTTCATTAATGCATTTATACCATTTAATTACAATTTTTTTTTGTGATGGATATAATATCAATCAGAAATGTGCAACTATTTACTATATATTATGTAATTAAAAATAAAAATTATTTCCCATGGGTATTTCCCTAAACCTCTCAGTTAAACATCTCTGGCAAAAAAGGATTGTTGTAAGCAGAAATGTAATGGAGTTTGGTGGTTGGTTATCAAAGGTGGAATCAAGTTTTTCATCATTGACATAAGAAAGATATTCTAAGCATAAAAGTAAACACCAAAAACAATAAAACAAAAATAGGAGAAATAGGTATGTTTTTTGATGGTAGGCCTCATTATATCTTTGGTGAAAATTATACGTACTTGTGTTTATAGTACAGTTATGAAATATCGAAGTATTTCTTCTGAAAGTATAGACTATATTATCCTTTAAATTCCTAAATACATTTTAGTAAAATATATATTCCAAATTGAATACATTTGAGAAACAATCATGGGTTTTTAATTAATTGTATGATTAGATAGTATATGTACAGTAGTACAGCTCAGCTGATACAAAGAACAATATAGATTATTTATGACCTGCTGACAGAATTAAAATTAATTAATGTCAACTTCTGAAAACATTAAAAAGGAAAAACAAGATTTTCTTATCCCTTGGGAAAGGTGAGGGAAAAGAATTTTTGTGTGTGTGTGGGGACAAAATTGTGATTTTACTTTGTGAATACAGATATTTAAAGCATACTGAAAAACCGTTTTAACTCACAGAAATAGTTAGTGAATCTATATAAATTCACAGAGGTTGGAAGCAGTCAAACAGTAATTTTACTCTTTCTGTATTGAGTCTAAAGTGTAAAAAGTTAAAACTGTAGAACTGAAAGAAATGCTGTGTATGCTGGGCTGTCATGTTAATTAAATAAACAACCAGAACAGTGACTCTGTGTATGAAATACATTTTGAAAAGCCTGGGGGAGGGGGTGCAGGCAGGCCAGGGTGAGTGACACTGGCATGAAAAAACATTCATTATATCTGCAGTGACATTTGTGTGAATTTGTTGTATTCTATTAGGAATACAGCTCTGAGAATAATCTCTTCAGGACTCTAGTTGAATAAAGGCTTGACCACATTTAATTTCACTTCAGTGTTAAATAAGTTTTATTTATTATGTTGAAGTAAAATGTGTATGGGCCTCAAAATGAGAAATATGCCTATATATAATAAGATTTTCAGTTAATACGGTTTGTGCCAGTAACAGCCCAGTAGAATGTATGTAGACCTCATTGAAAACTTGTGTTGTTCAATCCATCAAAAAATGAGTTTATCTTGGGTTTATGGTAGGAGTTGTATTTGTCAGAAGACCTTATTGTTGAGAGACATAATCTCTGGATGAAGGTAATCAATGCAACTATTGTATCAGGTGGAATCTTAAGAGATTCTGACACACTGAGGCAGTGCCTTGCACAGGGCAGGTTTCTTCAGCTTTGCAAA